CATTCAAGGTGATTGTTGTCTCCTTTGGTTGAATCCCTCTTGTGTTTAAACCAATCATTTCAAAGTTTAGAAAATGTTGATTAAACTTTAATTTTAATTAATTTAATTTTTGGTAACAAATAATTCAGTAACTTAACATCGTCATAACATTTTATTACAATTTTATTTTTTTCGGTTAAACTTTGAATTATCAGAAGCTTGAGAGGCTTGTGCACACAAAACCACAAGACATGAGAGGATCTCTTGCATTTGAACCCAGGTTTCGCAACAGCAGCAGAGGTAGGCATCTTAAGCATTGCATCATTGCATAGTTGTGACGTCATTTGTCTGCAACTTTTTTTAAATTAATATTTTTCAACTCCTATGATTGGTAATGGAAAATTTCTGAAAGAATTATTTGAATTTAAATTAAAGATTGATAAAATGAGCCTAATTGTAAACTTTGATTTTTAGTTTGGTTTAAATTTTGAAACTGCTTTTTTTCAAATTAGCAATATTTTAGTTCGTTTGAAACTTTCTGAATGGCTGCTTTTTATGAGGACAAAATAAAATTGGTAAAAAATAGAAATTTTTTTTTCTTCAAATAATAATTTTGGCAGAGAAGCATGAACAATTCAATATGGCGTGCATGGAAATGAAAAAATTGAAATGCAAGCAAAAGAATTTTCAATTGGTTAGAGCCGTTCAGAAACGTTTAATTGCTTGGAAAAACAGACGATAAAAAAAATTGTAACAAACATTTTTGGCATATTATTAATTTGTTTGTTTTTCGTGTTTCATTTTTTACATTTATACCATCAGATTTTTTTATACAATTTTTAGCATTGTTCAGGAAGATTTAAAAACTTTAAATTCAACCAACCATCAATTTTTTGCGGTGTTTTGGTTATTATTCTGTTGTGACAGCTTCATTTTCTGCACATTAAATCGTTTAAACATCAAGCCATCCAACTAATCAACTAACCAACCAATCAACCAATCAACCAACCATCCAATCAACCAACCATCCAATCAACCAACCCTCCAACCAACAAACCAACCACTCAACCAATCAACTAGCCAGCCAATCAACTAACCAATTAACCAACCAACTAACCAACCAATCAACCAACCAACATGTGATAATCTAACTTAAACTGAAGCACACATGTAAACAATGAGTAATTTTGTTTCTACATTCATTTACGGCTTGCATTCATACACAGATCAAAACAACACATTTTAAATAAATTGTTCAAATTCAAATTTTGCAAAATTTTTTAAAACAAATCAAAATTTCAACATTACAAAATAAGAAAGATTAAAATTGATGTACGGAGACAAAAACAAAACTTACTGTTGTAATGCATTTATTATACAGTAAAATTTCCGTCATGATTTATGATGCGATCTGTAATACTGTCGCATTCTAATGCTTCCCTAACTTCCTATCATATCATAGTTTTTCAGTGAAAGCATCAAATCAGTGTCACAAATGTCTTCTGCTTGATTGCTTACCAGTTGCCTATAGGCATGAATTGAATAGGACGTTTAGAGAATGATAGATTGCTTGGTATCGTATGACGTTGATTCAATGGGATGTACCCAAATTACGAGGCTGCAGATTGCATTAATCAAACTGCTCAGTGACTGACTACTTCTTCTATCGAAAACTGTACACTATTCAATTCTTGTTGCAAGGTAGTTTGATTGAAGTTATGATTTATTAGAAGCAGGCAAAACTTCTGAAACTAAAAGCTACATTTTGAGTAAATTTATATAGAAAATGAATTCTCACAAAAAATTTGAGTGTAGACTAGCAGAAGTAACCGCCAGACACTCATTAGCATTCGAACGACAATCATGTTGTATATATTATCATATCAATCATATTACTTTATGTTATATGTCAGATGTCGAATGTTATATATTCTATTCTTGTTTTATTATCAGAACATTGAAAAGCAATTTTAAGTTTCAAGGTGGCCGAGTCTGCAAAAATTGAATTTCAATTTTTGGTCTCCGAATCATTCATACCTACTGTTCTGTTTGATTGAAGAAAAATGATTTGATGACTTGATTTGATATATATGAAACGTTATCTGTTAGGTTGTATGTTATTAGTTGTATGCTTTACATCATACGTTATGCATTAGGCGTTATACGTTCAGCGTTACATTCAACGAAGATCATCATCTTCACAGTAACTGCACTATATAAAGCAGCCTCACTTCATTCATTTAGACCCACCTGAAACGTTATACCTACACAGAGGCAACCACACGCAGCCACAAAAACGAACATGTAGCAGCGCACGCAGCCACAGAAACCTCACTTAAATGCATTCGAAAGAGCGTACACCTACGATAAAATCCGGAATAAATTAATCGATCGAATTCATAAATGAAATTCAATGCACGTTATTTTCGTGATAAAACTTACAGATTAATAAAAAAAAAAATACAGAAATAAAACGCTTAAACAAACATGAAAAAGAATTGTTTGAAACGCTCATCAACATAAACAATAAAAAAAACATGTTTACGTACAAAACTTATTGTCATAAATTTCCGCCTATGTTTTGTTTAAGTGTTGTGTTCATGTTATGAATGTTTACAGCAACGTTAACTTGGTTGCAAAGCCATTAATGATCGGGTAAAACTGCACATATGCAGCACATGTAGCCACACGCAACATCATCATTCAGTAGCTGATGTGATGATGGGCATGTCAGAAATAATCCATTATTTTATAGTATTATATAATGTACTGTTGTATGTGTGTGTGTGTGTGTGTGTGTGTGTGTGTGTGTGTGTGTGTGTGAAGATGTGTGAATATGCATGTGCCTGTACCCGTATGCATGTGTTTGTGTGGGTGTGTTCGTGTGTATAAGCATGTGTGTGTAGGTGTATGCGTGTGCAAGTGTATATATATATATATATATGTGTGTGTGTGTGTGTGTGTGTGAGTGTGTGTGTGTGTGGTGTGTGTGGTGTGTGTGGTGTGTGGTGTGTGTGGTGTGTGTCACTACATAAAGCATAATTTACGTAATCGCATCCTGTACCTGGCTGCCAGCAATGTATTACAGTAATAAATTTACGTTTAGCGCGTACATTTATATTTCAGAATTAACGGATGGGTCTGTCATTAAAAGACATTTGTCATAAAGTGGTAGGAGCGCGCGTTGGAGCGATGCTAATGTGCTGATTGTGTGGATTCGCCGGGATTGCGGCTGACTACTGCCTGTCAATTAATCACAACCAGGCTGTCACTATAATTGAACCTAATTCACTCATGGGCTAAAAATAAAATTAAAATGATTATTACAAATGTATTTATTGATGTGATTTTTTATTTTTATTGATATTATATCTGTTGCGGTTGTTATATATATAATTAGCGGTAGCACAATGGTATTTTTATTGAATTGTATCTATTAAATCAACTGAAAATATAAAATACAAGATAATATAAAACTAAAACTTCAATCTTAACACTCGTTTTTATAGCTGGTTCTAGTTTAGTTTGGATGACATTTTGCAGCGTTCATTAGTAAGAAATCATTTTAAATGTGCAAACGAATTTTTTTTCATCCCAAGTAATTACTTTTAAAAACATTTTAAAAAGACTTCACTCCTCAGGCCTAATAAGAACCCATTTTATGGTGGATTACAACGACAAAACAATGAAGTATGTTTGTTTGTGTGTGTGTGTGTGTGTGTAGTTATTTGTATGTGTATGTGTGTTTACGGCCAAACACACACAAACTCACACACACATACACACACACACACACATACATTACACTCACACCTAACTGACACAAAAAATGTTCCAACATATAATTGGCTGCATTTTCATTACCATTGTTTGGGGACTTTAAAAAAAATCTAGTTTCGGTGACAGATCAATGAAGAATTTTTTGTGCAGTTGGACTCACAGTTACACTATTCACGTGATTAATTGTATAATGTATATATACAACTTGGAACCATTTATTGATTGAGGTGAGTGTGGGGGTTGTTCATCAAGGTAGCACTGCAGATAGCACTGCTACATTTGAACATGAGGATGGTATAGTAGCTAATTCGCCTGTTTCTGCAGCTGAAATGTCTTGTTTGATGCATGGATTCAAGTGTGAATCCACTAACCCACTATGTGATGTCAATGCAGCTGATAATGACATTTAATGGATGTTAATGATAACATTAATAGTAGTAATATTAAAAACAATTACTAAAAGGAAGATGAATGGAAATGAGGCATCCTTTATATGCGAAAGACTGCTGAAATTGTGAATTTCGAATGAGGAATATTTGAGGAAATAATTAAATGTTTATAATAAACGTTAATCTTTTGTGATCTTTAAAAGTTTGTTGTGAATTATACCCATTTGTTTGAATATTTTTTAAAAACCAATTTAATGTTTCAAGTTTATAAATTAAACAATTCGGATGAAATTTACGTTCGATTCATTTTTTCCAGATGAAGAAATAACTGTATATTATGCTAGCTGGAACATTATTTAAAAAAAATTCTCCCAAAAAATTGTTCTCGCATAAAAAAGAAATCAATTAAATATTTTTCATCTTTTCAGAGTAAAACAAGACAATAGGCGAATGACAGATGCATTTAACGATCGCCTTTCTAATTATACAGACCCATTCGTACTTACTGCTGCAATTCTTTTTTGTTGGTTTGCTGTTTTGTTAAATTTATTGCTTTGTTTGTTTGTTTGTTGTTTGTTTGTTTGCTTGCTTGCTTGCTTGTTCATTTGTTAGTTTGTTGTTTGTTTGTTTGCTTGCTTGTTTGTTCATTTGTTTGTTTGTTTGTTTTTTTTTGTTGTTTATTTTTCGTTTGGATTGGATTGTATATTTTGTTTGCTTTGTTTGTGTTGTTGTTTGGGATTGTTTTTTTTTCATTACACCATGCTGTTGTTCCATTGCTGGCTGTCCTGTAAATCTTAGGATATTACCATTTTTACTGTGATCATCTCAGTACGCAAATTTAAATTAACAAAAATGATTTATGTCAGTTTGACTAAAGTCGAACTAGCCAAGTTGTATAGCTCCATAGTATCAAACATCTCCAACTAACACATTCCCACCTCATTATTCATTCTCACATCCACAAATAAAAAAAAGACTTGTCTTAAAACAAAATGCAAACAGCGTATAATGTGATAAAGGAGCATCAAACAAAAATTAAAAATTCATAAAACTGAAATTTCAACGAACAAAGGCACATATACAAAAACATCTACAATTAATGCGTTGGGAAGTTGAAAGAACACAAAAATAATGTCATGTTCAATTAGAAGATTTATCTTCTAAACGTTCCTTAACTAAATTGAAACAAAGCCAACCGAAAATTACAAAGCGATAATGAATGTAAGCATGCATGGAAATGTGAAAGTCCGTACCATCCACGCGATGTGAGGCACCGTAGTGCAATGGTTAAGGTGTCTGGCATTATTGATGTAGAGTCCGGGTTCAAATCTAATGAAATCCCCGCCTACCACATACAAAATTGTGTGATGCATTGATTCAAGCGTATTTGTGCCTTGTGTGTTTGTTGTAGTAGTAGTAATAATAATAATAATAATAATAATGCGTCTTAGTCGCATGCCATGGCGCTATATGAAATGACATAAATTAAAGATAAGTTTGTTGAAATTAATTTTACGTTCGCGTAAACTCATAGTTATACAAAAAGATGAACAGTACGTGAAGATCACGCGTTCAATTAAATTTGAATTATAAACATGGCATTCCTCTGAATAATTTGGGCCAAGAAATTTTTGGAGCATTTGATCAACCCAGACTTACCTTACGTTGCAAAAATTTATTTTTTAAATTTAATTTTTTTAATTATTTAAAAATCCAATTCGGACAGACGCAAAACATATTTCGACATACAGAAACATAACAGAAGTGATATAATTGAAGTAATAAATGAAAAATATTTACATATCCGTATGAACGGTGAGCTGCTGATGCACAGATGCATGATTTTCGATCAATTTCTCACGAAAACTAACAGTGATTTAATTTCAAAAATCTATCTAGCTACGGACGTATGAGGATAGGAAAATGTTTGAAACATGGATTTGGAAGTTTGGATTGTTCGGTGAACATTCTGCCTTACATGGATTGGAAGTGTTCGGGACGTGTGACCTGTTCGCTGAATGTCAGAGATCTCATGGAAAAGAATCCGTGTCCAAAAGAACTCAGGAGTTATCTCACTGTCAAGTACAAATGCGTTAAAGGTTTGTGTGGAGTTGTGTTGTGTGTAGTGCAATGTGGTGTGGTGTAGTTTGGTGTGGTGTGGTGTGATGTGGTGTGGTGAATGCATCCATTGGTGAGGAAAGTTTATATGTTAGCTCAGTTGTGCTGAGTCGATAAATGATAAATTCATTCATCTAAACAACTAATGTATGAGTCAAATAAATTTATCTGAAATTAAATTTAAGTAATAAACAAATTCAATTGTAAAACAAATATCAATTATTTCAATTATTAATATTTGTTTTTTTCTTGTTAAAATGAAACTTATAGAATCAGGATATTTTAAAATTTGTTTTAAAACTTCAAGATGAGTTGTTCTGAAGTGGGCTATAGTTAGTTCACGTTGTATGAAATCTCTTCGTATAATTTTATCAAGTGTTGAGGAAAGAAATTTATGTTCGCAACTATCAGCGTCTTATAAAAACGATTGCTTGCTAAACATAACCACAAAATAATAAAAAAAATCGTTTATAAATTTATTAAATTTCCTCCAATAAGTTTAACAAATAGTCTAATAATTATTTATCTAAATCAATTAATGTTTAAAAAACTCGCAACTAATTTTTCTAAATAAAAATTAAAAAAATATTTGAATTAAAAAGTCGAACATCCAGCCGGCGATTTGAGAGTCTCATGCCAGTCCCTACCTCCATCTATCCTCAAGGCATCTCTTCCATCGGGAATTCTTTCAAATTATGTTGCCGAAGTTACTGGTTGTGGAGGTTTGCGTGTATATATTTCATTACTAGTTTGGTTGTATTAGTTGCTACATTAATAAGTTAATTGTGTTAAAAATCATCTGTAACATGGAGTGGTAGCATGGAACTTTCAAATATAAAAAACAATCAACGGCATTCAACTTGCTAATTTTTGTAGTTAAATCTTTAAAATTGTAAGTTGCAACTGCTATTGCAGTTGACTGAGTAACATTATGTTATTGTATAAATACATACACATGAGTTTGTCAGCTAAATTATTAATTTCTGTTTTGTTTCAATAAGTTATCTAAACATTTTTTTTATAAGAAACATTACAAAAACTCATTAATAAAATTATTTGATCCAATGTTTATACTTATTCCAATATTATGAATTTTTTTTTCAAATTTAACAACAAAAATAATTTTAAACTAACTCTATGAAAATTTCTGATGAAAAGGATTAGAACGACCTTGGTCGATAGTTGGGTCACCGGGTCAAAGGATCAACATGACTATAATGGACTTCGTCGAACCCAGCGAAACTTCCTGGATCATCACCGGCACCTGTCACGTACGCACTCATTGTCTATCTCTATTCTTTTTAAACTTTTAATCTAATTCCATGGCATGAGAATTTTTAAATTGAAATCACATTTAAAAATGTTCCTTTATATTAACGAATCAACGGTCATTTAAAATACTACAAAATTCATCGAATGGTTTGTGATAAAATTGTTAAAAAATTACAAAATTTTAAACTTTATCAAACATAAAGCTTAAATTTTTAATTAAAATTCAATAAATGAATAAATAAATTAATTAATTAATTAAATAAATCTAGATGTACGCCAACCTTCACGACGGGGTGACTGGTGGGATTGAGAGGATTTGCATCGGAGGGGGTAGAGTGAGGCACGCTTTTATTTCGAAATCTCACCTCTTAAAAATCGAATTCATCATAAGATTCAATGGAAACCAATCGTACGCTCTCTTCTTCTACGAAGGTATAAATAATGAATTTTACTGATTTTTATGCTTCTATGACGAATTTTATTTTCAACATCATTTGATAAACGAACTTATTAGGAAAAATATTGTTTAAAAATGTACATCATGAAATTTATTTGGTCACTAATAGTCCGCGGAATTCAACAGCAAAAAATAACCAAAACAGAAAAAAACAATTAACCATTAAACAAAAGTCGCCTTCAGGTTATGAAACGTTTAGAAAGGGTCTTTCCTTGTAATTAATAGACAATTTTTTCCATTTTTAACAATTGACAATCATTAAAAGTCTAATTGATGATTAATTAATTAATTAATTAATTAATTAACACATTAATTAATTAATTAATATTGAATACACAAATTGATTGCATCAAACGAACAAATAAGTGATAGGCTGTGCAGACATAGCGACAGACGCTGGCAGCAACAAGTGGTTCAGACGATACTCATCGGAGAGAGCTTCTTACGGCTGCAACAACAAAAATATAATCTACGAACTTAAGTGCGTGAAGAACAAGTGGGTGGGTGAGGAGGACAACTGTTCGCAAGGTCAGTCAACTATGACGTACCATGACGTACTAACCTTATTAAACGACCTACGTGGTTCTGGCGTTTTTCGTCTCGATCAACGTTGTTTTTGGTGTTAATAACTAGGAGTGTTTCTGTTTCTATGCTTTCGAGAGGCGTTATATAATGTATCTAATACAAACATCTGACATTTTTACACCCAGAAAGAATTTTTCTATGGCAACATTTTCTTTCACAGATGGTTTCAATCTGGCAAGAAATTTCTTCAATGGAAATTTTTTTACGATAGGTTTGTTGTAGTGGTGTATTTCAATCAAAATATAAATTATAAATATACTTATCATCAAAATTGTGATATTCTGATGTCAAAAATGTACGTTGTTTATGATTTAAGAAAAAATCATCGTGACGATTTTGGTGACTGGTCTGATAGGAGTTATTGTGCTCATCGCTGGTGTCATCATTGTCAGAAAGTTCGTTGAAAAATTTTAATTCTATAATATTTACATTTTTTAATAAGTTTTTTATTACTAAAAATATTTATTATTTAATAATAATAATATCATTCAAACTCAAATTTATTTAATCAAACCAATAAACAGATTATTGTAATGATTCGGAGGCCCATTATTATTATTATTATTACTATTATATGCGTGATGTGTGTATTTTATTTGTAACAAATTGTTGAACTTCAATCGTGCGGCACTGACAATCAGAAAATTGTTAGCAAATGTACTAAATTAAATGATAGCACCTTGCTTCTTGATTATTCTAAGTAAAAAAAAAAAAAAAAAAAAAAAAAAAAACCTGTTTTTAACTTTTTAACTACATCATATCATGCAATTATTGCAAGCAATTAAACTTACATGTGTACACAATGTGATACGATGATGCTTCTTTGCATGTTTGCGTGTACACACGCAGCCTTTTATGTAACTCTGTGTACATACATACAATACATTTCACGATGTCGTCTATTCTGCGCGATTCTTTAAAAACGACCATCCTAATTAAGTATTTGAAAGAAAGCGATTATATTATATTAATAAAGTTATTAATTATATTATTATTTTTATTATCTTTATTACTTAAACAGGAAATTCAAACGTCGCAGCAGCCAACATCAAATAAGTCAGCCACCTCATCTGACTGACAACCCATTGTTATACTCACAAAAAACGCAGTACATTGACAGATCTCTAATGAATCAACAGCAACAGCAACAACAACAACATTATTTTCAACAACAACATTACCAATCGGTCGGTGGCGTTTACATAGAGGACAAAAATTTTTACCAGCAACAACTATTGATACAGCAGCAGCAGCAGCAACAAAACTTAATAAACGCTGACACGGGATTGCAGAACGTTACGGCAGATGCAACGGTCTCGTCGGGTAACGACGACTACAACAAGTACAGCGATCACATCTACGAAAGTCCTAAATCAATAAGGAAGGAGTTAGAGAAACTGAGTGACGAGAAATATAGGATGAAAAATCTACCTCAGCCATTTATATGAAGATTTATACGATTGCGTTCGGTGCGGTCACCTACTCGTGCGTCTTTATTCATTATTGCTCTCTTCTATACATTCCAACTTTGTGCAACATGTTTTTTTTTATTTTTCTATTTATTATTGCATGCATATTCAACTTTTATTAGATTTTAATTTATTTCTGATTAGAACGTAAAGTGATTCGTCAGTTGAACGTGATAGCGGCTATCTTTATTTGAATATCTAATTTCAAAAATGTTTCTGAAACGTTTTTATATTTTGTAATTTGTATTCAACAAACATACAAGTCGATAAGCACTTAGAAACATATATAGACTACAAATTTTAAACAATCAAACAGAATTAATTGAGTGAACATACGACGTTTTGTAGTTTAAAATCTATGATTCAATTCTCAATAATAAAATTACATTGTTTAATTCCGCTAAATGTCTACCTAACAATCGATAACAATTATTTCCAACCGACTATATTATTTTGAAATAATTTCTATCAATAAAATATAAAAATTTTTTTCTTTCGTCAGTTTAAAATTTGTTAACCATTATAATTCCCATAGCTGACAAAAGCAAATTGTCGTTTCAACTAATCAAGCAGATGAATTATGCATGGGCAGATTTAAATTTTCTACACTGGTACATCATCGGCAACATTTTTGTTTGTTTATTCTTCCTCTAACACCTAACTGAAACATTGGAACGTGAAGCTGTGCGAATAATCATCCACTTTTAATTTTGTTTTCGCCTCCGCTTTCGAGCAAATAGATTAAAACCGTTTCAATATTTAATAAGATTTCATTCTGAACGCACGGCATCAGAAAAATAATTTTGTTACATACAAGCATATTCAGCTCACACCGTTCTTAGAAGTAAATTGGAAAAAAAAATTTTCTTAATCTAGAAACATAACATACACTTATAATGATGAAAATTCTAATAAAATGTTTTTAACGATCGAAAAAAAGAAAAGTGTATGAAAAGTTGAAATGACTTTCCTGAGGTTGCACGTGTTGTCGAAAATTATTCTATTTTAATGAAACAAAAAAGTTATCAGACTACTCTTCACTCCAGGTAAAGTTAAGAGTGTAGTACCTACTAGAGCCCCAAGCAGAGCAGATTTTTCTAAACCGCAACCACTCGTCACGTCTGCAACCGCATGCATCAGCACTGCTCATTATCCGCATTCGAATCGCACCGCACCCGCGAAAAGACAACCTAAATCTAATTTTATAAATTAGAAATTTTCTAATTTAAAAAATTAGAAATTAAAATTAAATTAATGAAAAATAAAAAGTATGGTATAAATGAGTTCACGTATTCAAAACCATATCTGTCAGTTTTTTACGCTCCAGTTTTGTAACGCTTTTTCTCGTCCTCTGGCAGCTCCTTCAAACCCCAATTGCTTGTTGACCTCAGTTAAGTTGGCTCACTGGTTTTTTTGCTGCAACACCCTGAAGACAAAGAGACATTTGAGGACTCTTTTAATTTTCTTTGTTCCAGCTTGTCTTTCATTCATCTTGTGTTCAGCGTTGTTAAACGATTACGTATTCGAGACCATATCTGAAGTTTAAAAAAGTGTGGAATAAATGTTTAGATAAAATTAATAAATAATTTATTATGCTGGTCATTTTCTAAAATCTCGTAATTCCCATAAAATAATTGCCAGGGTATAAACACAAACTGGTCGGCAATTTTTAGTCATCTATGAAATGACCAGGTTGATCCAACTGTTGAATTGATTTAATTGTCTCAAGTCTTATTCAACTGAAAATGATCTTGAATTGACAGAAAATTTATGAAGGCGATGATGAGGTTCAACATCATCATCATCAATCAAGTAAAACTAATAGGAGTCTAAAAACATGGGAAAACATAGTTTTAAACATTTAATTTTGTTTGGTTTCATTCACTTAGGCTAGCAAACGACCTCATTGGAAACAAACTTTTATGGAAGTAAATTGCATGGATTTACAAATTATTATATGATATATTGTTGAGTTCAAAACTGACTGAAATGTTTTCCTCAAATAAAAGCAACAAGACAATCAATTGTTACGAGTTACAACTATCAAACGTGATAAATTTAGATGAATAAAATTTCAGATTGAAATGTTTCAATGAAAATATCACTACGGAAAATATTATTAGATTATGTGCTAGTGTGAGTTAACCTTTCTTGAAGTTTGTTATAATGAAAAAGTTAACTACACTAGTAGTTGTATTACTAAGTATTACAAATCACTGTACCATTACTATAATATGGTTTATACGGATATTTTCGTTGAATTTTAAGTTTAACATACAGGTTTAGTTGAGTTTGGCACACAAGTTTAAAATGCTTAAAAGTGATTTTTCGTTTTAAACCAAGGACTTGCTTTGACTATTGCGTAACGAAAAATTGAAATAATTTCATGAAAACCTAAAATTTTAAAATAGATGAAATAAATCATTGCTTTTTATTGGAAAGTTAACAAATGCAAATTGTTTTCTGAAACTCCTTAGATTTAGGTTGTTTTTAATGAGAGAACCCGAGAGCAAACTTGACTGAGATAAATAAAAAGTTAGGATTTATGTTGAAAGAACTTCCAGAGGAGGAAAGACAACGGTATAAGGCTGAAGCTGATAAAAGAAAAATTAAACATTCAATTTTAAACCCTGGATTTGTTTACCGTCCAAAACGAAAAAGGTCGGTAGAAAACGTTTTTACAAATAAACCAAACAAAAAGGTTAAACTGGATCCTAAAGCGAAAAATTGTACAGGACAACCACAGCAACTCCAACTTTAACAACTACAGCAACAACTTCAGTTAACACATCACCAGTTCCAACAGCAGCCTCATATGCAGGAGCAGCCCGAAAAACAACAATACCTACCATATTATCAGGACCCGCAAAATGGATTTCAGTACCAGTACCTACCAGTTCCGCGATATTCACCACCACAACAACAATTTCTCCATTTAATCGCACCAATCCCAGTGAAACAACCTAAAAAAATTTCGCGACAACCACAACAACTACAAAACTTCCAACAATTACCTGGACAACAACTTCAACCTGAAATAATACCACCACAATTTCAACAACTGCTACAACTCAACTTACCGGTACCACACAATAACAACGACAACACACACTGTTAGTATTGGCAATGGTAGTAGTAATATTAGCAGTAGTATTATTTTAAATTAATCATAACCATAATATTGCCATTGTTAATTAGTTGCATGTATATATTTTCTATTAGTTCAATTTTTACAGCCTATGTTATACGCCTGCTTTACAAATAAATAGTACACATTGTAACTTGATGTTTTCTTTCTCCAGGTGTCATAAAGACAAAAAATTGAAAGTATTTTATAAATAAACATATGATTTAATATATAAATAACGTAGTAACGTATATAAATAACTATGTAACCAGTGGCGTATGTTTACGTGTATGTGTGTGTGTTTGTGTGTGTGTGTGTGTGTGTGTGTGTATATGCATAATATATGTTCAATTGAAATTTTCAGTCAGCCCATAGTTCATTGTCATATTTGAGTGTATACAAAATTTTAATAAAGAGTTTTTAGAAAAACAATGTAACTCAACAGAAAGAAAAGCTCAAACAAAATTGTGAACGCATTATTTTCATTTGGCATATATTTTCTTTAAGATTTTATATCTCTTAAAGCTTCAATATTATTTTGAAATATATGAAAAACAACAACATGACGCACTAATGAACGCAATGAAAAAATTAAAACAAGTTTTTTCTCAAACATATTTTATTCAAAACAAATACGCCAACGAATGAATAATTAAATAATTTATTTATAAATACACCAAGAAAACATTTATTTCCAAGTCAGAAAGTTGTTTATTGAAATTGTTCTTCCAGTTCCTGGTTGATTAAGCGAGGCCACTTTCTCCATTAGCACACGTAGTACATAACCTTCTCAATTTTTGTTGTGACGGTCCCTGGCTTATTTGCACATAACATGCGATTATTCTCTACATAATACCATTTTTTGTTGTAGTAAAATGTTCCACTCTGTGATTTATTTATTTATTTGTTCAATTTAAAGTGATTTTGGCGATTTGGAAAAATCAAAATAATCTGAAAAAATTCTTGAGAATGTTTGCAAGTCGTTTTCAAACATGGATTGAGAATTGAGAATTGAGAAAAAATTATCAAATTTTCAACCTTAATTTTTTATGATTGGTATTGTATATTAAAACTTGTTGAAGGCTCTTTTTTTAATAAGCAAGTGGAACTGCACTAGCTTTGTTCGAAGTTGTTGAACTAATGTTCAAACGATTCATGCAAGCATTCTGACACATAGCTTAAGAGCTAAAAATCAAATTCGGCAGTGAAATTATTGCTCCTTAAGAGGTTTGAAAGGCCGAATGCAGCTAGATTGTTTGGAAGATTAATTTTTGCGAAATGTAAAAAATGGTGCGAAACAAATAAAATTAATGAAATGACGAAGTTACCACGGCAACTTGTCCAACGATGTTACCCATGCGATATAGGAGTTTAGCTGAAGTGGCTTTATCATGGTAGGTGCATTGAACCTAGCGTAAAAAACTACTATTTATAACAATTATTACAATCCAATCGTCATTAATATTTGTATTCAAAATGGATCAATTTTTAAGGAATTCAAATAAAATTTATAAAAGTTTCAAAAAAGGAAACATAAAATACCCTGAAAGACATTGCTTCGTTAGTTAGTTTAGCATTGAGCTGAACCACACCGCCCGCATTGTCTATTTTCAATTGTTGACTGAAAATCGGCGGACATCTGGCTTTTAAATTTAAATTTCAAATAAATTTTAAATAATTCCAAATGATGGCAAAATGTTTATAAAAATATTGTTCCATGATTTCATTTAAAAAAATTAGTTGAAATTTAATCTGATTTAATAACAAAATAAATTAATCTACTAGAAATTAATTTATTAATTTTGAATCTAAATTTAATTGAATAATATCACAAAATATTGCAAAAATGTTATAATAATTATACATTTGGATCCAAAACGTTATTAATATTAACTGAAATTAAGTAAAACAAACTTTGCAAACCTGCTAGTACCACACAGTAGTGTAGCACGTTGAATGCGCAAAACAAAACATTTAGAAACATTTCATTTTTCCAAAAAAAATTTGTATACTTGTAATAAATAATAAACTATTTCCAAACACTTAAATCAATATTTTGCCTTTAGCCAACAGCCAGATTTTATGTTGCTGAATGATTAAATTTTAAAAAATAAACTTCATAAATAAACAATCAATGATTTTATCGATTGTCCTAAGAGATGATGACGATGTTGGTGAAATAAGTAAGATGATGATGAAATTGTTGAAGAAATAATGAAGACGATGATGAAAATGATGATGGTATGATGAGGCATATACTGCAAATGATGGGAGGACGATGAAAATGATAAGGCGATGATAAAGATGATGATGAAATGAATGAGAGGGTGGTGAAGAAGATAGCGAAAATTCTATTTTAATGAGCTACTAAAAAATGTGTCCAACGTAACAATGCTATGGCTGACTAAAATTAGGGGATGATGAAGAAAATAATGATGATGAATACGGTGAAAATGAGGGGGCGATGATGAAAAAGATGTTGATGAAAATGATTATAGGGTGATAAAGTATGTATCCGTAAAAGACAAAAGGAAATTTTCAATTCCTTTTTGATAGAAACTTAATCAAAATTTTGGTATGGTTTTGATATTTGAAATTTGGCAGATATTTATTAGAGAACAATTTTTCATAAATATTAACGGAAAAACATTTCTCGAAAATATTAAGTCGGATGTTACACTGCAACCAATAATGCGAATAAAATCTTAAACAAATTTGCGAACTGCGTAGTAAACTAACCATATGGCAACAATGATCATTAATGATGACGTGGATGATGACGTTGAATGATGGATAATGGTGTATTGATCATTTTTATGATGTCTGAAATATTTAAAAACCTTTAATGCATGTAAATTACATTTTGAAATCAATTCTTACCGAAATGCTCTAAATTCAATTAATAAAATAAAAAAATAATTTATTTATTTATAGTTAGTTCAACTTGTTTATGCTCCGCCCATTACATGCCAATCAAAAATACTCAGACCTTTGTATTAAATGAGATATCTGCAAAAAAGAGGTTTTTAGGAGTCCAGGCTCTGGAGCGGCAAAAAAGTGGATGTTCCTTTTTTTAGTTGTTGTAATATTTTCTTCAAAAAAAGCTTAATTCGACATCATTTTTGAGCACTTTTTTAAATTTTTTGTCAAGTAACATAAAGAAAATAAATATTTTTATTACGGGGTCCATATTTCTGAATGCCTCTGGGTAGTTTTCAGTCACGCCTGCCCTCTCCGGAAATCTTTCATGTTTATCCATGAAGTTTATTACTGCCAAATGTACATCAAACGGCGATTCAGGTTTATTCTTCTAAAACTTCATTGATATTTTTTTCTAATTGAAATTTTTATTGGCGATTTCGATTAAAAGTAATTTAATTATATTATATAACAATAACGTTCAAATTGAATCATTAATAAAACTTGACTGGGAAAAGTTCAATTCATTGCACAAAAACAAATATTATGCAAAAGACAAGTAATGTATCGATAGGGTAGGTTAATTATTAAGTTTTACATTATTATTATTAGCGGAGCCCAAGGCATTATGTAGGTGGTGGGGTGGGTGCCGAATGAATTGGGCTTTTGAGTTTTGTAATTTTATGTAAGCTAGGGCTTAATTGTAATGAACATTTAAGTTGAGGGCACGATAGCCGATAGACTCTGAATTTCAAAGTCCGTTGTCTGAGGTAAGCCAATTTTTAATGAAAATATTGCAATTTCTTAAGTAACCTAACCTATGGCTTTGTTAAGCGGTAGGTTAGCAACCGTGTTTTCGAAACAAAGAGCAATATTTTTACTTAAATTGACAAAAATAATTTCGAATTACATAATTCGATTTAAGTACAGTGTTTTAAACATATTGAGTCAAATTTATATTTAGTATTGTTTGTTGAAACCCATGCAATTTCGTAAGTAAGCCCACCATGGCTTCAGTAAGCCACTCTGTTTTCTATATTTTTATTTAAATTGACAACGATCTTTTTAAATTAAATAATTCGACTTAATTATATTGTTTTACAAATATTTTTTAGTCAAGTAAATCTTTTGTATTAGTTGTTTGTAAAAACCCACGCAAATTCGTAAGTAGGCCAACTAACTTTGTTTATTCAAATCTGCTGAAGTAATTAGTAGAAGCTGCTCGCTTGGCTTTATCAACGTGGACCCCAGAGAGACTCAGCTATGGCCATTAAACACACATACATTCTCACACACGTACATATATGGATACTTGCAAACAAACAAGCGTAAAAACAAAATTTTTTAATCTGACAATTTTTTTTAATTTAATTTTGTGGGCGGATTTTTAAATAACGCAATTGAATTCGCGGCAAACTACACAAACAAAATCCGCAAACCGCAAAATCCGCACGATGAAGATGGCACTTTATCATCAGTTCGATAATAAGATAACGTTTACATTAATGTTCGCATTTATTGAATACATTCTGCATATTCAAATACTTCACAAATATATATATATATATATATTATATATATATATATATATATATACATTGTAAACCTTATATTATATTTAAACATGACTATTTAACAAAAAAAACTACAAATATTAATCGAATGAGTCATGACTCTAATGTCATGAAGATAAAAAAAAATACCCGTCATAGAATAATGTCCAAGTAAAAACATAACAAACCTTCTACCAGCGGCTGCATTCTTTAAAATTGAACAAAATTAAAACAAAATAAAATTTTAAATTTACGACAGCAGCTAGAAGACATTAGATTAGAATTAGGTTAAAATACTCTCGAACAAAATATACATGCAATAATGGGAGGACTATGCCTAATAAAAGCCCGCCAAAATGCGTGAGACAAAAACCTCTAAACTTATTCAAGTTAATTAAGAGTTGTCAAATATGTTACTGAAAAATAATGAATGATACATTTACCTCGCATGAAAAACAATCGACGACATTTTACTTAGTAAGTTGGACCAGTGGTGATCATGAAACATGAAAAAAAAATGAAAATAAGATAATAAAGTTTATTAAGGCACTTAAAAAGGGCAGGAAATAACATATTCTGACCAAATTTAGCACCTTTGTACATGCAAAATTGCTTTTAAAAATAATATAACTAATAAATACGTATAAAAAACAATGTGAAATTAGTAAGTAGTAAGCTTGCTGGTGCACTAAAGATAAGGCACAATTCATCAAATGCCACAAAAAATATACAGTACGATAAAAATTTAACGACAAGTTAATTTAATTTAATTTATCTGTTGACCAGTTTAATTATACACGAAACGCAAATAAGGAGAAACATTTCCTGGAATCTGACGAGAAAAACTGAATGTAAAAATAATAAAACATGGGAAATAAAATACACGTAGCAATTATGGAAAACGGCTAGCGACATATAATAGGAGTGACACAGCAGCAGCAGCAGCTTCAGGTCCCATTAAAGGTTAAAAACAACAACAACCACAACAACAACAGCACATGCTTCAATACTAATAAGCGTCATTTTAAAATTAAAACCTGGTCGAGATAAAACAAAATTACTAATTAAATTAGGCATTCATCTATATATTTACTTGAATTTAAAAATAAAAATTATATATATATATATAATTTAATATGTGAAATCTAAACTCTGGTACAAGAAGCGAGTATCAGTATATAATCAGTATACATTATTTATATATTATATATATATTATAAATATATATATATATATATATATATAACATATCTTATATGGTCGGTTTAAAAATAATAAAAAGCAAATTAAAATAATTCAATCCATGGAAAGACCAGGCAGCCACGTGACATCATCACTGTGACGTCATATCGTTACATTACGTCATATCGTTACATTACGTCACATTATTTTATGCAGTTGTGTAATTTGACATCATTGAAACACAAAATAAACATAAGAGACAACAAACAAACAAACAAACAAACAAACAAACAAACAAACAACCTAGGCATATAACAGCCAGAATACCATATAATAAAATTATATTAATATTAATTATATTATATAGTAATAAATGATGATATTACCAACATTAATTACAGCTTTCGAATGTAGACATGTGTATATATATAATTGAAGCCGCTGTCATCGACTGGCAGACGCACGTGATCAGATGACGTCAACTTGTTGAACGCACCAATTACGCAGCTACAGACATCGTCTGGAGACATTGCAGTGTCTGGACCAATCGTCTGGAATAGTCTGCCAATGCCGATGAGAGTGTCGAAGATGGGCATTGTTGATTTCAAAAAGAATTTGAAAACTTATCTATTTGCGATGAACTATTGTAATTGATTGAAACATATCGTTCATTGATAGAACGTATATTATTTCTCTGTTCATTTATTATTTTTTCTTTTTTCGATGGCGCTTGCTTTTGAGAGATATTTATTTTCATAGGCGCTTTATAGGTGTTTGATAATAATAATAATAATAATAATAATAATAATAATAATAATAATAATAATAATACTGCAGTTGTAAGAAAAATAAAGGCAGATGGGCGTGAATGTGACGTTGATGGAGATGATTGTTTTCATGCAAATTGAGTTATCGCAGAAACAGAAGAAAGTCAGTCGATACGACGGCTAACTACATTCGTTTCCAAAGAAATAAGGGAAGATTATTCTTCACTACTACAAGCCAATACGTACAAGATGCATGGATACAAAAATGTGGATTATATAACTCTATAAAGAGTTTACAATGAAAAAACTTAAACCAGCAGTAGTAAAACTAACGTATATCATTCCATAATTAACCCTTTAGAAAGCCAGTGAAGATGAATAGAAAGATAGACATGAGGGAATGTTTAACCATTGACAAAGTGTCTCGTGAATGAAGATACACATTAAAAATGTACTTAAAAGGGACATATATACAGATAGGAATCTGGTTATTCATTGTGAAGATACGCACGTAATTGTCCTAACAATTCAAATGATAGCGAACAAAACATTTAAGATATCGGCTGATGATGTGAGAAAAATTTCACTGAAGACTGTTGACCAGTAAACGAACACTTCCAATACTTACACTGGCACTCCCACCCCCATCACTGATACTTCTATTCACACTACTTCACTTACGATCTCGTTTTTTTCATAATATACTTCTGCCGGAACGACGTGCGTTGATGCACTGGAAGATTTCAAAAGTAAAAACTTTTTGAAACCATCATCTTTACCATCCTCACCAACCTCATTACTGCAGTCGTCAGTATCGCTACCACCATCGCTTCTACACATCAACCAATCACGTTCATCTCTGCCGGGGGGAGTTTGTTTCGGCAGCTGTTGAACACGAAAGTCTGGTGACAAGAGGAGAGTGAAGTCCCCCTCATCATCACCACCTAGCTCCTCACCGTAGTCCCACTCATCAAACATGACATCTTCAACATCCTCAACAACACTGAGGGAATCGTCACTTGAATGTTCCTCTGAGGTGAATGCCTCTTCTGATCTGAGGCTGTTATGATTCGATGTGCCATTTGAAATTCTGGTTGAGATCGTGCCCTGATCATTGAAATTCGGTAAAGTGTGTGTTGATGGTGGTTGGGGAAGCAACCTCCTGCACGTCGCCAGTATCGGGTGGCGGTGGTGGTCTTGGACTAATGTCAATTTGTGTTCTGTTGTGTGGGGAAAGCTTTTTGGTGTTGAAACATATGGTCTGACTGCAATAGTTGCCTGTTTAGTACTGTGATCAGCGTCAATGCAATCAGCATCGACATCGCCATAATTAATGCCTGGGTTATTAATTTTCACGTCCTCGTCATAAACAGCTTTCTTTTTAAATATTTCAAACACCTCAACTAGCTCATTTGTTTCCAGTTTTAATTTTCCCAGATCCCTCTCAATGACATCCAGCTGATCAGTTATGTCCGAGGAATCAAAGAACAGCTTGCTTGGTCCTTCCAACAGGATGTTCAACAGTGTGAGGTCTGCAGTGGAGATTGGTGAGGTGTCACTCAAACTCTGTCCCCATCTAAACGAAGAGCCATCCAGGTCGGACACAAGATTGGATTTTAAGGAAAGTTCATTAATGTTGGTGTCTTCGTGAGAAGTTTTGATGTTGTTGAAGTTTTTGTTGATCATTGGTGAGCTGGCGATTGTTGAAGACGATGGTCGTCGTGTGCACTTGAAAAGTTGTTTGCACGATGAGAGTGACATTTCCCTGTAGATGTCATCATGGAAGGAGGTGTGGCAGTGAATGGAGGCGGCATCTAGGGACTCATCATTATCATTATCCGCGTCACTTTTATGATAACTATCACCACACTCGTCATTATCGTCTGATGACATCTCGTTCTCATTGTGTGTGTGGCCCTCTTGAGATTCATTCGTTGAGTCGTAGAGAAACGTTGGAAATAATGATGATGAGATGTTGGTTGGTGCTGCACTGGTCCTTGAAATGGTCAGGCCGTCGTCTTCATACTTCATACACTTTGCTTCGTTATATTCGCATTCATCAGTTGAAATTGATAACTGAGATTTAAGATGAAAATTAAATCAAATAAAAACATCAATATGTAAAAATTTAATAAAGAATAATAATAATAAGAAGAAGAAAAATAAATTAATCAATTCAAGTTGCAAAAAATCAATATCTACCATTTTATTGTGATTAACCTTTTGCAACCTTGTAAGTTCTAAATATTTGAAATGAGTATTGTATACAAAACTTTGCTTGTTACTTTAAAAAATAAGAACATATCCCAGAAAATGAATTTAATTCAATTTGTGATGATAAAGTAATCATATAAAAAATTATTTGAAGCTATATCGACCAATAACTTTTCGAACATGATCAAATGTTAGAATGCAGCCCAACACAAAACCTTCAGTAACTAAATGAACACATACAATTATCATATGAAGCTTCGAAAAATTTCAACTTCATTTGACAAAAAGCTGCAAAAACTCATTTCAGAAAATTTAATAAAAAAAATATCTCAAACTTATAGACTTTAATTTTAAGATATACTTATAACAGAAAAATATCCCTTATTATAATAATTAAAAGTTTTACATATTCATGAAACATGAATAAAATATTAATGTTTCAATCTACATTAAATACATTAGAATAAGAGTAATTTTTTGCCATCATGCACTCACTTGAGACGGAGGCTTCAGAAGAATTTCACAGATTTGATCATCAGTGGCCAGTTTAAACTTCATCAAATCAACCTCATCAATTGCATCCAAGTAGTCCAGTGGTTCAGTTGCATCAGCAGTTTGTGGTGAATCTGCCGGTGATAGTGATGGTGGTCTCTTGAAGAAGTGCTTGTACAAGTTGATCAACATCACAGATCCAAAGCTCAACCCAAGACCAATGATTACTACCACCCTGCTGATTTTAGCTGCAATAAAAAGTAAAAACATTATTTCTTATGCTAACAATAGCAGTAGAGTAGACAGTGAAGAAGATCAAAGAAAACTTTGACAACCTGTGTAAACATAAGGTTGAAATTCTATTTCTATATTCTTTAATTTAATTTTTAATTTAAGTTTAGTTCAGCTAGTTAGTTAATATCTTTAACTAATTTACATATCTATTTATTTTTATTTAACATATAAAATAAAATTAATTTTAATTTAATTTTAGATTTAGTTTTTTTAGAACAAACAAGTAATATAAATTTGAAATATTAATAGTTAATTAAAATAAAAATTTTCAAAAGTTATAAATAACTAAACAATTGATAAATATTAAATTATAAAAAAATTAAATAATTTAATATTTTAATAATTAATTTAATTTAAAGTTTGAATTTTTTTAAAAAGAAATAAAATAAAATATAGATACAAATTTACAAACACTGGAGCCTGTCGATGACAATCATCTTATTTCCTTTCCAGCCATAAAACTAAAAAATATAAAACTGAACTGAATATTTGGTAATTAATAAATAAACTTTTAGAAGAATAAAATAAAACAATTAAGTAAACAAAATAAAATGAAATTAAGATATACACAATTTAAAAACGGAGATGGACCAAAACATGTCGGTCGGTTTCTAAACAAAGCGAGTTCTAGGTTTCGGTATTTTTTCGTTGGAGTGATCTTGTTTTAGGTAATATTGGCATGGAAATTGGCATGGATATATTCATGAATATTGGTAATAAGTAAGATAATTCTTAACGAATATACATATAATAATAAAAGCTCGTGTTTACAGTTTCAATGAAACAAATTGTCGTAAAAATATTGCCATCATTTGTAATTTTAGAGCAGTCAAGCCACTCGCAAACTTTCTCAAGATAAAACAAAAGAAAGTATAGAAAAAACTTTTGATTAGTTGGGCTTAAAAGATTCGACGTATTTTTCTATATACTATTACTTTATACTTTCAGGTCTTTCTTGCTACAAATAATTTTAAAACATATGCAGCGTTTGATCAAAAGCTTATTTTATTTGTCCTGTCCTGCACATGTTAAAGCGTCACACATATCAAGAAAGGCAACGGACAAATTTCGAGACGGTTCCGAAAAATACAGGGCAATTGGCAATATTTAAACATTTAAGAAGCTGCCTGATTGGAGCATTTAAAAAATTTTAATAACTATTTCTTAACACCTGAACTATTTTTCAAGCGTCTATCAAATTATAAAAATAGAACTGAAAAAAAAACATTAAATTTACAGATCCTAAAAAAAATGGGAAATTCAATTTTTTTTCCTCTTAGATAAGATTACAGAAAATATTTCAAACCCGAAAAAAGGTCGAAAAAAATATTCACGTAAAAAATGCTCATATTTCGAAATAAAAATATTTATGAAATCACCGAGAAGAAAATATCGTGAACACCTAAACGTTAAAAAAAGTTAAAATTAGTTGATTAGTGAATTGAAAGCATTAAAAATGATCACAAAATGACTACTTCTGACCTGATGCTCCTACATCAACTCAAAAAAAATTATTCAACATATTCTGTTGCAAAATCTTAAAATTTTTTTCTTCATCATTTTTATGCAGTTTAGACCTGCTACCTGCTTACATATCCTTCATTACTTGCATAATTGTAATGTAACACGACTAAACTTTCCTAACAAAAAGACTGTACTATAACTTCTACGTTATAAGAGGCACACGCACAATGCATGTGATATTTTTTGAGATTTCTTCAGATTTCTTCGAACCAACAATAACGACGATAGAAAACATTAATTATAACTGCCTTAACAAACTTTGTATGTATAACTTTTCAAAATACTACTTCTTCTTACACATCGAAACATCGTTCTACTAAGTATCTTCTCTTTCGTTGTGCGTCACAAAACAAAATTTACAATATTACAAATAACACAATTTTAACAAAGTTTTGGGTGAAGTTAAAATTATGAAACAAAGTTAATGCTAATGCAGCATTAAAACAAGATTTGAGTTGATGAAATCTCAAATGTTTTGATTTACAAAATAAGCAATAATAAATCTTTTACATGCTGATCGAAACATCCCCCGGCCAACGACTTCACAAGCATTTTGCAACAAATCGTTCGATAGCAAACGATTTTTCGCTGACAGACTAAGAAGATGAACTACCGTCATTAAAGAAAACAAATCAAAGTTGAGGAAAAAATAATGAAAATATCTGAATTCTTCTTTAATGATGTTGAAAAACTTTTAAAAATTTTATTGACAAATTACAACGCTACGCTGTTAAAAAATCTTTTAAGCAATATTTAAATTAAAATAAGTTTGATTGATTCTGAACTTGCATTTTTATGAAAAACTAAATTTGTGCAAATCCATCGATAGTATGTTTATTTTTTAGTAAAATTGATAGAAACCTAAATTCGCCAAAAAATGATTGCTAACATTTTTTGATTCAAGTCAACGAAATTTCATAAATCAGAAAAAATTCAATGTCACATAAGCGCCAATAAAAATAATTATCTATCCAAATCAGATTTCAGTGGAAAAACGGTTTCTTATGAGAATAAATATAACACGGACGTTAATGTTTGGGAGAGTTATTATCTATCACTACATTATATTGTTTGATACCATTATTACAAAACTGAATGTTGAAGACGTCATTGATAGACGAACAAACTTAAAGAAAAAATATTCAACGCCGAGTTAAAAACAGCAGAAGAAAGCTCTTTCAATCATTCACTTCCTACCAGACTGTCGGTTGGATGAAACCCGTCAAAAGAAAGTTAGCAGGGAGATATGTCAGTTGACGCATCAGCGATTGTCGATATTGAAATGTTTTCCAGGTCAGGAAACGAAATGAGGATAGATTTATACTTTCCTTGAAAAAATCTGACTCTTTTGATATTGGCTAATCATATCCTAAATTTACCATATGCTAGTGCGTTCGATTTGAGCTCGAACTCAATACAAGCCACCGGTCAGTAATAATCTCCAACGCGAACAGATGAAAATATTCAACAACAAGCCAACAATCTCAGCAGCCAAGAAGTTATTTTTATCCAGAGTACACATTAATGGCGCACAGACAATTATTTCCGATACATAAGATTTACATCTGCCACCAGCTGTTCACAATATCGCATCCTACATGTTGTCAGGTTTGTATGTATTATATTTGTAGGACACATTGTTGATAAAGGCTAAGATAGCTATGTCTGTCTGTGCCTGAATGTATTTACTGACGTACGTGTTTGTTTGTGTGCGTGTGTGTGTGTGGTGTTAGTGTGGTATTTGTTTATTTATTTTTTCCAATTAATAATTTCAATAATGTATTTTGTATGTGTTATGTATGTGAATGTGTGTGTTTTTGCATATATGAATTTGTGTTTGGGTGTTTGTGTGAGGTATGTGTGTACGTGTTTATTTAGCTATTGTTGTAGTTGAAAATGTTGTTATTGTTATATATTATACATTATGTTTCCATATGTTGAATTAAACTTTTCAGTGGCATTTTTGTGTAATATTTTATATAAATTAATGCATATTGCTTTAAATTTCAACATAACACTTCAATGTAGACATGCAACAAAGTCTTTAACAAAATTTTTCAAGTTTATCGATAAAAATTTGAGATAATAATGGTATTTTCGTCGGGGTATTGCAAACATAATAAGACAATTATAAAATTATGGCAGAGTTTTTTTTAAGAAAATAAAAATAAATGTTGAAGATAATAATTAACAGCTTCTTGTTATGAAAAGGAAGGACATCGCAATTCTCATTTACGCGTGTTTGTGTATGCTTGTGTGCGCTTGTCTATGTGAGTGGCTTTGTGTGTGTGTGTGTGTGTGTGTTGCTGTGTATTTTTGCGTTTGCATAATTTTAAATTTTCAACCATGTTGATTCACTAAAAAAAAACATTGATAAAGATTCAAAAATTAAATTTCATACTTGAATCAAATTAATTTTCAACATTCCAGAAAAAGACGAGACTAACGTAAAATAATTCAAAGGAATGTCGAAAGATGGACTGCTCCCACTTGAAATGTTTGGAAAATGGCCGGCAAATAACAATGGCCGCCGTTTA